CCCCGGCCTGCAGCCGCCGGTGAGTGAGCGTGGGGACGGAGGCGGGGGGCACCCCCGAGGTAACGGAGACCCTTGGGGGAGATTGCGGGGGTCTCTCTCGGGAAGCGCGGGTGTAGTCCTGAGGTAACTGTGGGCCTCAGGGGGCTCCTGGAGCAACCCTGAGGCGATTTGGGATCCGTGGGGAGGCCCTGAGGTAATTCTGGGCCCCGGGCCTAGCGTGGGAGCAGCCCTGAGGTAAATGGGCCTCGGGTGGACCGTGGGGGCAGCCTAGCGGTGACCGTGGGCTCGGGGGCAACGTGGGGCAGCCCTGAGTAATTACTTCCCCCCGCGCCCATGTCACGGGGAGACTGTGGGAACAGCCCTGAGGTAAAATAGGGCCCGTTGCGTGTAAACTGCAGGAGTCACACCCCCCACTCCCCACCCCCAGTAACGCCGGCGGCAGCTCTGCGGTAAGTTTGACCCCCCCAGGTAACCCCGGGGGTCACCTCGCGTTAATGGGGGAGAGGATGCCCCCGCCCCCAGCGTAACTGTGGGGCCGGCCTGGGCTCCCCATCCCAGGCACTTCTGGGGTGCTGTGAGGATCCGCCTGTTGCACAGTGACCCCCGACCCTGGGGTGCCTCCCGGAATACCCCTGGCTAAAAATAAATCGATCAGGGCTTTCTGCAGAAACCAGCACCGTACGGCCGTCGGGCCTCGCAGTATTTTACATGTACATTTCCGAGCCCGAAGGGTGGCGAGGCGCAGCTGCCTGGAACAAAGAAAACCTTCGTTTCTGCCTTTTGTTTCTGCCGCGGCTTTGCCAGCGTGACCCAGATTTTGGACACCTGCCTAAAACCAGAAGATGCTGCGCGTGGGGCTGAGCCTCCGAAGGCTTGATTTTAGGGTGAGGGTGCCTGTGATTAACTTGATGTTAGTAAAGCTGGAGGCCAGTTCTGCTTCAGCAGTTTCATTTGAACTGGCATTTGCTGCTTCGCAGGAGTGCACTTCAATCCCTGGCGGATTTTGTCTCAGAATAACCAAAATGAAAACCTTTTTTTTAAAATTTATTTTTAATTGTTTGTATTCCACGCTGCACATTATAGAGGAGCAGCCACACTGACATGTCGGGATTTGCGACACCAGCCTGCACCAGAGCTGCCAGTAGCTCCTACCTAGGAGAAGCAAGCAGTTTGAATCCTGGTGGGAAATCTCCATGAGTTTTATTAGCTGGTGATTTTATAATTCTTTTTTCTTAGTTCAGACATTGTCTGTATATCTGTGGTGCTTTACAAGAAGCTGAAGACTCAGCGCAACATTTTTGACAGAGAGCTGTTTGGAGTAATTAGTGCTTTGGGCAAAAGCTGATGGGACAGGTCAAGAGCAGCCTCGTTTTGTCAGGCTCCTAATTGTAGACCTTGAGCTGCTGACCTGGCACACGAGGAAGAGGAGGCACGGAGCTGTGAAGCGTTAAATTAGCATTGGATTTAGCAGAGGAGATGTTCACCTCTTTGGGCTGGCTCTGACAGGTTTTCTCTTCTGAAAGCGAGCGGCACAGCGTGTCGTTAGGAGAGATGTTCTTCTGCTTAGAAATACAGACTCTGCTGTTCCTGAAACCCCAAGTTCATTATGTGAGATACCATGGGATTAACAGGTTTTCTCTGCCCGTACGTTTGAGGATGGTTGCCCGATGGGAAGCCAGCAAGGGCAGGGAATCCTGTTGAAAATTGCCAGCTTGTGATTTAACCTGTAATCACCCTGCTCAGGCTGATGCTGTTATCACCTGCCATGGTCCCGTGTTTTCTCTCTCCGCAGGCTCCATCCGTTTCCCATCTCTCCAGGATGAGAGAGGTTTGGCTTCGGCTTTTCCCTTCTCCCCGTAGTTGATAGTTTTGGAACCAGAGGTGATGCTGGAGTCGAGATGGCAGACAGTGTGAAAACCTTCCTTCATGACCTCGTTAGGGTAAGTCTCCACATTCCAGGCCCTCTGTTGTAGGGACTGGTCTTGTTTGCTTAAGTGATGCTGGGTCTTTGTGGGGAGCACCCTCCTTCCTCCATCACCAAGGGTGGATTAAAAAATTTGAAAGAAAAGGGCCTCCAGGTCTATTTTAATCAAAAATGTTGATTTTGTAAAGCTGAGATACCTGTAGGTGAGCTTTCCGCTCACTGATGACAGGTTTGACGTGGCTGTGTGGGATACGTTGGTCCCTGAGTTTTCCAGAATGATTTTCTCCCGAGCTGGCCATTATGCAGCATGTCTTGTGAAGGGCTCTGTGTTTATCCGAGGTGCTGCTGAACCTCTGAGGGATTTCCTTTGGGCAGAAGTTAATTTATAGCCCACGTGAACGTGGCAGTTGTGTCACGGTGTTTAGGCTTTGTGGGAACTCAGCGCTCCCACGCTGTCTCGTATTCTTCAGGTGTAAATACAGGGTTAAAAACATTTGTGATATGACGCTGAGAAATAACTCGTGTTCAGAAATAACTTGTGTTGAAAAATTTGCTGGGTTTGATCTTCAGATAGTGCTGGCCATGATCTGAAACGGGAGGACTTGGGTTGCTTCTTGATGCTTGCACAGAGCAGTGGGTAGAGCGGCCTGTGTAATTAATTTCCACCTCGTCAGGTGCCAGTGGCAGCACACTTTGCCCTTTCAGACATGTCTTTGGTGTCAAAATTTATCCTGTCGAGAACTCCATATACCAAACTCTTGCATGGGCCACCTGGGTATTGACACTGTCCTGGCTCCCAGTAGCAATCTTGTGGTCTTTATTTTGAACTGAAATTGTAATAATGATTGTTACAATGTCTGGAGCTGGAAATAACTGCTTGTGGAGTACTAGGAGGTGACACTAGAAATCTTCTAAACGAGGAGTAAGGCAAAGACTTCTGGGCTCTTTCCTATTAATGGGCTTGCACGGATGTGGATGATGCAATGATGTTTCTGGGACAAGCAATGATGCTTTTATTTGTAAAGGAACAAGTGTCAAGCTCATACATACGGTCAGGCCACAAGGACTTTGTGCTTCCTAAATATTTTGTATAATTCTATTTTATGGGCTTCAGAAATGCTGGCAGGGCATGAAGGGCTTTCTGCCAGACTGAAGAAATGGCCTGAGACAGATGCGACTCTGGCTTTGCCAGGGTTATAAATAGTGGAGATTGGACAAGAAATCACACCTTCTAAAAAAAAATACTGCTAAAGATGCTGGGAGGTGTGGTGATTTAGGTCACCGGGCCACAGAAAATCAGTGGTGGTGCTGCTTCAGATCTTGGCTCCGTCTGAGCCTGGTGTGGCTTCTCCTGCTAGCCAGGGCGCGAGGTCGGCCGCATCCTGCTCCTCCTCGTCACTCCGTGGGGCAGAGTGCAAGGGCCTCTCTTTGTGTCCGCAGGGAATCAAGGACTCCATCTGGGGCATCTGCACCATCTCCAAGCTGGACGCCCGGATCCAGCAGAAGAGGGAAGAGCAGAGGCGACGGAGAGCAAACAGCGCGCTTGCCCAGAGGAGGTTTCACATGGAAGAGAAGAAGCAAGAGAAGTGAGTACGGGCCCTGATGAGTCATAAATCAAATTTTTCTCTTTTTATTCATATTGAGTGCAGGGAGAGAGAGCATCTCTGCCCAGAGCTTCGAAGAGCCCCATGAATTGCAAAACCTCTGCAAGTCATAGTGATTTGGCAGTGCTTGTGCTTTTTTTTCCCCTCTTAAACATCCGCTGTATCGCAGTAGTCTGGCTAAAAGGGAAGTTGGGGTAAGTGAGGTTTAAGAAACAAAGCCATTATTGTTGCCTGCACTTACAAAGATCTCCATAAAAACACTGTCAGAACCGTCAGAGAGCCAGGTGTCAGCGAAAGCAGAACTCATGGTGTACATTTGCAAATGGTCCCTAAACCCAACAGCGCTGAAGCACAGAGCCAGTAAATATGAAAAACGTGACACAAAACACCCTTTTCCCACTCTGTAATGAAACTGGAACTGCTATCGTGAGATAAGACAGACCTTTATGTTGTTTGACAAGATTATGCAATTAGTTTGAAATAATAATAGAAGATACTGAGCTATAGAGGCTGAAAAAAACATGGATTTCTGGGTTTCTTTTCTTCCTGAATACTCGTGTTGTCTCTCAAAAGATACATCATTGTTGTTGGTAGCCATGGGATCGCAGCTCAGATCCGATTTATATGTCTGGGGCAGATCAAGTATCTTTTTTTTTTTTCCCCAGCCTTGCTGTGTTCTGCAGCCATCTATAGCAGTTGCATCCACTAAGGCTGAGAATGCCAGAATTATATCCACGTGGGAGCAAAACAGCATCTGTTCTTGTGTCTGACTCCCAAACTGCACCATTTTTTCCACTGCCCTAATTACAGTCGGGCTGGCACTTAACGTGGTGACGTTTGGTCAATAATACACCTTTTAAGACATATTTATAAATTATTCTGACTAGCTGAGCTTGACTTTATCTCAAGATGATAGAAATCTCCCACATCCCATGATCCTGATCCTCTCCAGTGGTTCCTGCAACTTTGCACGTTCACTTGAGGAATAACACATATTTTTCAGGGACTAAACGGTCATATTTTGTGTGTTTTCTTTGTAATAAAGTCCCTTTGGTAGCAGAAGCTGGCTGGAAAAGTGCTGCAGGGTCCTACCAAGCTGCTCTCTTGCGTGTCCGTAGATACGCTGCAAAGAGAGGAAGCCAAAACCACCCAGAGCTGAAACCACCTCTTCTGAGGACAAAAAACACCTAAAACACCCTGATTTTATTATGGTGAGAGTTTGAGGAGAACAAAGCCTGAGATCTCTAATGTTTCAAATTTTGGAAGAAAGCTTTGCTTTTCTTCCATTTCAGTGCAGATGTGGGGAATTAAAGGTTGAAAGAGTCTCCCTGATGTGAATCTTCTAGAGACTGTGCGCTGGCTGAAACCTGGCACGAGTCTGTGCAGGGATTTCTTCCAGATTTCCTGCGTTCAGATAAAACCAGGTGCATCACTGGCCCTGAGCTGCTTATCTGCAACATTTCTAAGGTGTCTAAAATGTGGGACAGAAGCAGCTGTCACTTTCTTGGGGCAGGCGCTGGGACCTTGAACACATCTCACCCATCTCTCTCCTACTTACCTGCAGTGAACCCCGGATAGTGAGCCGGATATTTCAGTGTTGTGCCTGGAACGGAGGTGTATTCTGGGTAAGTGGATATTTTTGTTTTCTGTGTTAAAAACCCCATGAAAACCAGTGCCCCGCTCCAGCCCTCATCCACTGTTGGTGGCGAGCCATCAGCATGGCTGCAGAAGTGACAGGAGCCACGAAGTGCCCAGTCCCAACACTGTACGTTAAGGGAACATAACTTACGTTAGTGCATTAAACCCGAGCTGCTTTTACAAGTCTCTAAGACTACTTTTTGCCCAAATATTCCAATTCCTGCTCCACTGCAGCCTGGGATATTGCTTTACCAAATTTAATATTGATATCTTACCTGCTCCATGAGACTAATCCTTAATGGAACAGACACTTTGCTGCCTAATAAGTCACCGGCTCCATTTTTCTGTTGGGCTGTGGCCGGGTACGAGGAATCAGCATGGAAATGTGATAAGGAAAGTGCTGAGATGTAGATTTTGGCTGTATTTAAACAGAGACCCTTGTTCCTCTGTAGCTGTGGAGCACTGCGTAGAGGAGCCTGCAGAGGGTCTGCCTTCAGATCCGGAGTTAGTGGAGCACAAAAAATGACCGTGCAGTGCCTCACCACATACCCTTGTTGTTTCTTTTTCCCTGTAGCTTAGTCTCTTCTTGTTTTACCGGGTATTTATACCTGTTCTTCAGTCAGTCACGGCACAGATCATTGGTAAGTACCTTTCCTGTGTGTGTGTTACAGGCCACTAAGCTGTTCCTTGCACCTCTGCCTCCTTGCCTTATTTTTCTCTTCCTCCCTATACTAATCAAGGTTCATTAATTGTTTAGTAGAAAAAGAGATGGATACCCCCACTAACAGTCTGTGTGTGTCAGGGATCTAGCCCGTGGGTTTTACCACCCCGAACACGCAGCCATTGGAATATTTTAGCAAATAAATAAAAAAGCGAGTGGGTGGAAATGTTCTTTTAAAGAGCAAAGGTTGGGGTCGGAGATTTCTCCTGTCCTTAAGTGCTACGGTTGGGAGAAGTTCCCCGTGGCCGTGCTAGGAAATGTTTGTGAAGTGAAACGAGGAGGTTCCTGTGCCGGTTCCTGACGCGTTTCTCCCCATCCGTCTCTCAAAGGTGACCCTTCCTTACACGGCGATGTCTGGTCTTGGCTGGAGTTCATCCTCACCTCCATTTTCAGCGCCCTCTGGGTCCTCCCCCTCTTCGTGCTCAGTAAGGTTGTCAATGCCATCTGGTTTCAGGTAGGTGAGGGGAACCTGGGCCATGAATCCAGTAGATGAGGTGGGGAATTGCCTCATTAAGGCTTGATGGGGGGGGGTGGGAGTGTGTGGTGTTTCGGTGTGAGGTGAAATCCCATCCCAAAAACAGGCTCTAGGTATATTCCCAGCAGGTGAAAGGAGCTCAGTAACACCATCCCAGCTGCTTTTGGATTTAATTTCCCTGAAGCCCCCGTTTCTCTTTTTAATTTAATTTCCCTCAAGCCCTTTTTTCTTTTTTTTTTGCAGGACATTGCAGACCTAGCATTTGAAGTTTCCGGCAGGAAGCCTCATCCCTTTCCCAGTGTCAGTAAAATCATCGCCGACATGTTGTTTAACCTCTTGTTGCAGGCACTGTTCCTCATCCAGGTGAGATTGAGTTGCACGCCAAAACCACACTGTCTTGCCAGCCCCGGGTCTTGCTCTCAGGCGATGTCCTCCTGCAAATCCTGAGCACCCTTCACTTGCCTGCTCTTTTTTTTTTTTTTTTCCCCCAGGGGATGATAGTGAGCCTCTTCCCCATTGATATCATTGGCCAGCTCATCAGCCTCCTCCACATGTCGCTGCTCTATTCACTCTACTGCTTCGAGTACCGCTGGTTTAACAAAGGTGAGAGCCTGACGGGTTGGCGGGGTGGAAATAATTCCAGATCAAGGGTTTTTTGACTCAAGGAGGATTCAGTTGGGCTGTCCAAGGCCGATTTTCCTTCAATTTTACACGAATTGAAGGGTAAGGAAGGTGTCTCCTCCCCATGGGTTCATTTCTGCAGGGTTTTCTTATCGCCAGGTATCGAAATGCACCAACGGTTATCCAACATCGAGAGAAACTGGCCCTATTACTTCGGCTTCGGCTTACCGCTGGCTTTTCTGACGGCGATGCAATCCTCTTACATCATCAGGTGAGTCGCTGGGAGGCTGAGCAGCCATTTCAGACCCCATCCTCCTCCCCTGCCCAAGGACATGCCACCGAACCCAACCAAGTGCCTTTTGATTTTTTTTTTTGGGTATTTTTCCCCCCTTCCAGCGGTTGCCTCTTTTCCATCCTTTTCCCTCTCTTCATCATCAGCGCCAATGAAGCGAGAACCCCCGGCAAAACCTAGTGAGTATCTACCTCCACCCTTCCAACCCAAAAAATCTCCCCAAATCCCACCGGGGTGGTCCTGGTGCCAGGAGCTGACGGGCTCTGTTCCCTTTCCAGCCACTTCCAGCTCCGGCTCTTCTCCTTGGTGGTTTTCCTCAGCAACAGACTCTTTCACAAGACCGTTTACCTTCAGTCTGCCCTGAGCGGTGCTTCCTCCTCCGATCGTCTCCTCTCCCCCCAGCCCTCTCCCGCCAAACACACGGCTGCTCCGGGGCACTGAGCCGCCCCCAAACCCCGGGGAGAAGGGGGGGACACACACAACAGGGACCTCTCCTATGCCCCTGAAAGTGCCTCCAGTCTCCCCAGGGAGGGGCAGGACTCAGCCCACCCAGGTGTTGGTGTCGGTTCTTGATAGAAATTTTTGGGGGGAGGGGGGAAATCTGGGTTTTTAACACCTTTGTGAGTTTCAGAGCCGGCTGGTGCCCTGCGCTTGTTTTATAGCAGACTCTTTTGTACGCTCTTCCCGTGCCATTTTTGGGGAGTTCCTGCTGCAGTCAAGCACAGTATTCCCCCACCACCACCCCCTGTGCATGTACCGTTTCTGTAGGGTCGGGGAAGGAACTGGTGATGTACAAGAACCCTGTGGTTTTTTGGGGCCGGTTTATCGACTTTTCTCTAGTATTTTCACACTGAAACATTAAATGGAGAAATCACGATTTGCAGCCTGTGCCTGCCCTTGTCTTTAAGCTTGGGGGGGGCGGGGGGTTCGCGTCGGCGGGCTCACATCGTGACAGCACGGTCGGTGCCACCGGT